CTTAGTATAATTGGAAATATAATTGTATTTCCTGCTATGTTATTGGCATTATTCATTCTTGTTTGTAGGCGTTTATTACATAAACATGAAACAGAATTCGATTTCATTCCATTTACAGATTTTTATATTATGATTTTTAAGAAGATTTTTTAAAATGGAATTTGAACAAGAATATGATGAATATGAAGTTCAAAATGTATTTGGAGCAAAAGAGCCAAGTGTATCTGAAACAACTTATATTAAGTGGGGGTAAATATATGCCAGAATTTAACGTAATAATTGATAATTGGAATCAAGGAATTGAATTTAAGAATTTCTTTGAATTTGGTCAATGGGGAAAAGATCAAGGAAGAACTTAAAACTTTAAATAAGAAGTTAATTAAAGTTCATAAAGCTAATTTTGGACCAAAGAATCCATCTACTGCTAATTTAAAAGCTGCATTTGAAGAGTTAGCTAAAGAATATTTTATTGATAAGCGTTTTAAGTTTAGAGATAATCTTACTTGTATTGAGGATTTTCTTGAAGAACGACTTAGATCAGAATGTATGTATTATTTCTGGTCAAAATGCGAATACGAAGTAGTTATTCAAGGCTGGCCTAGTAAAGATAATGAAAAGAAAATCGATGTTTATGAACAGCTTGAAGCTAACTGGAATATCTAGTACTCTGCGTTGATACCACTGCTTTAATGAAAGATGGAATGAAAGAATATTTTGATAAGATTTATGAATTATATCGTAAGAAATATAATTCTGATATTCCTACAATTAAACTTACTGGAAAAGGAGATGTGCCAAATATTTCTGATGAAAGAATCGGTTGGGTTGACGCAGAATTGAATTGTAAAATTAAAGGTTCTTATTCTGATTTTAAAAAAGGGTTGACTAAAAATTATTGGCATCAATTAGGTATTTGTGATGGTGGATTTTATGCAAGGGTAGATGTAGAAAGTCCAAATAAACTTATTTTTTCATTTTGTCGTGATGGCTTTTGCTATTCAACATTTATAAAGAAACAAGAAATTACTGTTTTAGATAAAAATAAAATATATGAATTTTATGTTTTAGATAAAGAACTTTATATTAGAGAAACTGGTATAAGTCACGAAGATTTCATTAATCGAATAAATGCTATTAATGCAGTAAAGAGTTATAGTGATTATGTAAAAAGTAGTAATATTGAAATCTTTTTAAGATCAGATGGAAAACCAATATTAAGTCCCTGTACAGAAATCGCTAAAGATCGTGGACCAGGTTTTGAAGAAAAACAAAAAGAAAGAGAACAAAAATATAAAGAAAGAGAACAAGAATATGATAAATCCTTAAAGCTACCTACTATTGCTGATATAATTAGTCAAAGCATCGATCAGTTTGAAAAAGGTATTCCGTTAAAAGAACAAAAATTTTCTTGGATTTTTCCTAAAGAATATTGTATATATAGGAATGGCCATCAAATGACAAATAAAGCACCAGAATATTTTGACATGAAGGAATATATGGAAGCTAATAAGATTCAATATGATGGTTCACAATATATTTTTAATGGTAAAACTTTAAAATATAAACGAAATTTTGGACTTTAAAAGGTAAATTATGAATGAACAAGTCACATTATTAATAAAATCTGATTATTTAATGGATAAACTTTCTATTAATGAATGGAACGCATTAATTACTAGCTATGAGAATGATCCAAATGTAATTATGGAAGATCATATGGATGATTATATTCTCATTCATACAACAGTAGATAACATTAAGAAAAATCATAATATAAATGATTTAAGATTTTGTTTAAAATAGGATTGACAATAGTCCTATTTTTTATTATATTAATATATGTAAACAACTTAAATAAAGACTAGTAATTATGGATTTTGAGAAATTAGCAGAAGCAAAGAAATTACACAGTGAACTTGAAACAAAGCTCAGGGATATATATGTTGATTTTTCCAATTATGGTCCTGCCATAAGTGTTTGTCTAATGAAGCAAATGAGTACTCTGCGTTGATACCACTGCTT